GGTAGGGGGGGCCAGGGGTGAGATTCTTGGGGTTGGTGGTTCTCAGGGCTGGGGTGCTCAAGAGTGGGGTCCTTGCAGCTGCTATTCATCAGGGGTGGGAGTCCTTAGGGGTGGGGTCATAGTAATCACAACAGACAGTATTTGCTTTGTGATTAGCTATGAAAAACATACAGAGTCATGGACCCAGCTATCTATAGTGGGCTCTGTGCAGTTCTCCATGGAAGGCTGTGCAAGTGCCCTGAACAAACTAACTTTTCCTTTAACTTCCTAGCCAAACAGCAGGCATCTTCAGACCCAGGCTCTACGGAAAGATGGCAGCCTGACTCAGGGCCTGTCTAGCAATGTTGCCCTCAGTGCTCCAAACACAAAATGCTACCCTCTCTCTGTGGGTCCAAAGTGTTTTCTTTTCTATTTTTTTTTACATTTTTAAAATATTTTTTTTGTTTGTTTGTTTTCGAGATAGGTTTCTCTGTAGCTTTGGAGGCTGTCCTGGAACTAGCTCTGTAGACCAGGCTGGCCTCAAACTCACAGAGATCCATCTGCCTCTGCCTCTGCCTCCCAAGTGCTGGGATTAAAGGCATGCACCACCATGCACCACCATCGTCCCACCCGGCTTTTAAATTACATTTTTTAAATGTATTTTCTCTCTGTGTGGGGAGCACACATGTGTGCCACCATGCACAGGTCAGAGAACAACTTTGTGGAATTGTTTCTTTGTTGTTTTTTTTTTTTTCTCCATGTGGAGCAAAGGAATTGAACTCAGGTCACCAGTCTTGGCAGCATTTTACCCTGAACATTCTCTGACCTTCAAAGGGCTTTCTCATTAGCCAGAAAGCAAACAAAAACAAAAACTTCTGGCACCCAAGTAGGGGGCTTGGCCCAGCCTCTCACCAGCTGCAGCACTGGGGAAAGTGGGCTCTTCACCTCCACTGGGCAGCACAGTATAACTGACCTTGCTGATGGGTGTTGGGGGGATGGGCACCAGTCCAAGAATGTGGGCATGGGAGATCTTGCCTCACCCTCATCTGCAGTTAGGTGGTGTGGGTGAGGGAGAGATGTCTCCCCCACTACCTGTGGCACTTGGGAGAGCTGGCCCTGAGGTCATGAGAGTGGAAGAGCTATGCCTGCCCCTCACCAGCTGCAGCACTGAGTAGAGTGGCCCCTATACCTCACCTGGGCAACACAGTAGAGCTGGCCCTGATGGTACAGGTATGGGGAAGCTGGCACAAAGGTGTGAAAGCAGAAGAACCAGCACAGCCCCTTGCTCATGGCTATCAGGGGGAGCTAGCTAGGGCAATGCTGGAGGATTCAAGGATGGTGGACAGGTGGCAGGCTGACCACCTGCATCCACCCAGGCCCAGAACCAGGGCTATGAGTTGGCCCAACCCAAAATCCACCCCATTTATGAAGGGGCTGGTCCTAAAGATGCAAAGCTACAGAATCTCCACAACACAGGGCAACAACAGGATATACAAGAGGAGTTCCAGTGAGGGCCCAGTGTTGATAGCATAGCAGAAACCAGAGGCCTCGAACCAGACCAATGACTCTGCAATTAACACTTGCAAGTAAAGATGTATGGAGTAAAGTGTATACTGTGTCACTCACTAGGTCACACTACAATTACCACAACCAGATTTTTCTTTTTCTTTTTTTCCCTCTTTTTTCTTTTCACTTATATCTTATTTGGGGGAGGTAAGATTACAAGGGCAGAGGTAAGATACAAATGGACAGGGGGCTGGAGAGATGGCTCAGAGGTTAAGAGCACTGACTGCTCTTCCAGAGGTCCTGAGTTCAATTCCCAGCAACCACATGGTGGCTCACAACCATCTGTTATGAGATCTGGTGCCTTCTTCTGGGGTGCAGATATACATGGAAGCAGAATGTTGTATACATAGTGTTATTCTTTTGTTTAAAAAGAAGAAAAGAGAAATTGCTGAGACAGACATATTGACTATAAGTTTATTATAAGGCCCGGTAGAATGGGGAGACTAAGAGGAGGAACAGGGGTAAATGGCTGACCGCCATGGCCGGTCGCCATAGAGAGACAGAGTGGGAAACAGAGAGAGGGGAACAGAGCGCACAGAGAAACAGAGAGAGAGAGAGGAACAGAGAGAGAGAGAGCGCGTAAAGGGGCAGGGGCCTATCTTTTAAAGGGGTCCTCTGCACCTGCGTGCAGACTTCTTTCCCATGGAACCTTGGGCTGACCAGGGTTCTGCCTGAGTGGATTCCACCAGGTAACAGGGGCAGGCCAGCATAATGCCTGAACCTTTCACATAGTAAATAAAATCTTTTTTTAAAAAAGATACAAATGGACAGGGAGATGAATGAGGTAGGGTTGCAGGATCTGAAAGCCACAAAGGATAGTTAAAAAAACAAAAAACAAAACTTCTGGCACCGACTGGCTCCACAATTTTCCCAACAATAGTGGAAAATTTTGAGCCCCTTGAAGTGGCCACTGCAGCATGGGGCTCCAAAACAAACCCCCCATAGATATGTCCTCCCCAGTGTGTACTCCTGAGTCAACACTATAAGCAAAGGGGCGGAGCAAATGAGGCCCCTGGAGTGAGGCTGGACAAAGGGCCTGGAATAGCTCCTGGCTTGGGTCCCTCTGTCAGGGCTGGTTACTAAGACTCACAACCACAAACATCAAAAATGAAACCAACCAGGCCAGCTTTGATTTCTTGCTGGGCAATGCAAGCATTTCCAGGAAAAGAAAACTGTTTCTGCGATATTGGGAGCCTGAGACTTAGAGGATGGCCTGAACTTGGGATTCTTGAGTACCTAGGCCTGCAATAAAATGCATACCAATAATTTATAATCACACAAAATTGATTATGAACAGTTACAACAAGCCTATAGGAAGGTAAGGACCACCCACAGCAATAGCAGGACATCAAAGGGACAAAGGTTGAAGGTGAATTGCTGGTTACTTCCCACGGGGCTACAAAGCCCCTCTTGAGCTCTGGAATGTAAAATACTGGATCGAGTGTACTTATAAGAAGCCTGTGGATGAATTGTACATGTGTAGCAGTGCAAGGAATGTGCCCCAAGTGGATGCACCTGCTGGTAGCTAGACACAACACCCCCGTGCTCCACCCTTCCTGACCCACTATGTGTATGGATGGTCCAGGCTTTACTGTGGATCAGGGAGAAATGAAGAAAGAATAGATAACTGTCATAACTGCAGACTAGTTTGGGAGATGCTCCCCCCCCCCCCGAGATACACACACAGTTGGCACAGCCATATTTGATGGGAATGACAAAAGTCATAAAGACAGCACAGCTGCTTGACGAAGATCCAGCAAAGCCGAGCGGCATGATGGCTGCCATGCCAATTTTGATTTAGATCTCTGAGTGTTATATGCTTGGGGGGGGGCTTTAGATTTGTGCATGTGGGGAATATTGGATTGATGGAAATTTTCGTATGAATCATTTATGCCTTCTCCCAGGAGTACTGCTTCTAAGTCTCCCTAGGAAAGTCCTGTGCCTACTATCCCTCCCACTTTTATGGCGATATCCTTATCTACTCAAAGGTCTTCCTTATGCCTGGGAAGTTGTGACACACATAAAGAAGTCAGCTTCTCTTTATGAAGTTCTGAGATATCCTTGAAACATCTGTCCCTGCACTTACTCAGGAACAAGATAATCAAAACAAAGAAATTTTAAATCAACAAGATTGGGTGGGCTAGAAGAGTTGGCCGCAGATCAGACGCAAGCCTCTTCCCACTGTACACTCAGGCTGCTATGTAGCGCATAGAGCAACAAAGTTAGATTAGCTGAAGTTACAGCTGTCCTACACAGGAACTTATATTGATGGACAAAGAGTGGTACAGAAAGATGATAAAAGAATGAGGTGACAGAAGTCCCTTTCTTAGAAAAGTTAACTCGTACAGAGCCACTGACCGAGGAACAGCAGAATGCCAGGATTCAACTTATAAACAAATTCTATAGAGATATATAATTTCTATACAGATATGAAATGTAAAACATTGTATCATGCCAGATTTTAA